TCAGGTCAATACAAACCTACAAATACCTGACAGCCCTCTAAGATGTACAACTACCTTTCTCAGATATAGAACAGACACAATCAAACTTCTCCAGAACCAACTGGATGTCAGCAATACCACCATTAAAATGAAGACCCCCCTATAAAGACTGCACCAAGGCCAGCAGATCAGAAAGCATTAAAGACCAGCGATTTAACTTTCTAATAACCTTGGCCCATTTGTGGTTTAACAGTTATTATCCCAAAAATATTCCCGTAGTAAACAAATGTAGCATATTTCCAAGGGAACTAGATTTATCCAATATAAAGCTGATCATGGTTGGCGATGGTCCTTAACGTTCTAGTAGATGCTCCTTGCTGGGGGGCTCAGCTTGCAGATGCTGGGGGGAGGAGGTCTTCTAGGGTTATACTGCACTGGTAAGGCTATGAACAGTAAAATACAGCAAATGGGTTCAATGATTTGGTCCGCTTACTGGGTACAGTATGTCCGCCTGTAGGCAGTAAAGGTCAGGAATAAAAATTGGTTTGCACATTTTGGGCTTAATAAAGTATTTGTATTTGCGGTGGTACATTATTCGAAAGGATCCTCAGGATGGTGAGAAAAAAAAAAAAAAAAAAAAAAAAAAAACTGTAAATGAAAAGATAAGGCTCCTATATTATTCACAAAATTATTCGTAATAGAGGTAGTCAGTTTGGATTGTACCCTTCTAAAAGGGGAGTGAGCCTTGCTTTTCTCCCATTTGCCCTACTGGAATATGTTCCATTTGTACATTTTGTGCACTAAATAAATATACACACACACTCCCCTGGATGACTTCTGTGATTAAACCAGCGCTTGTTTACATTATTATGGGATTTAGTATTACAACAATGCCACCTACTGGTACATGTCCTGAACTACAAATGTCATGATAATAAACCAGAGTTCTCATGAGAACTGAATTTTAGCAGATGGCACATTATTGTAATTTAAAACTTTAGAATATAGCATATCATTTTTATTTAGAATTTTTGAATATGGCAGACCATTTTCATTTAGAATAGTAGAATATAGCAGATAATGTTCAAACTGCATTATTGACCAAAGTAGCCACTGGCTTTTGTGCATGCTTCTGCATACACTGGGCATTTAGTCCTGACACATGAGGCTCTGGCATATAGGTGAGGGCAGAAGGCACAAGTGCACCATCCAGACTATGAGAGGCTGGCAACTGACAGAGGTGGACAGTGTACCTAGTGGTACTTATGTTTATGGCAGTATACACCCTGGGAAAGCAAGCACTCTCCCCGCCCTCTGAAAGGTAATCCACCACAGATCACTTTTCAGGGAATGTAAATGACCCCTAAAAACAGATTATTTAAACTTTACAAATAAATGATTGCCTTTGTATATATGTTTTGAACTAAGAGTGCTTTAAATACAGTAATACCTCAGTTAACGTAATTTTCAGTTTATGAATAAAAATCCATTGAAAGTAATGCCTCGGTTTACAAATATGTTTCGCAATACGAAGTGTATGTCAGTGCTGATTTTTAAATGCAATTGCTGGCTTTTCTTTTTTCTACACTATAGCTCACAGAATTAGCTGTCACTTTCCCTGGAGTTAACGGAAACTTTGTTTCTTTTAAGAAACTAATAGGAAACATTGTTTCTCTTAACTCTGGAAATACACTAAAAGAAAAAACTCTCTGAATTTCTGAGCTATAGTGAAGAAGAAAAAAAAAAGAGAGCTGTAATTACATTTAAAAACTGGCAGCATAGTAGTAAATAAAAACAAATGGTGTGGGGTCCCCCTCCCATCCATACCAAGCCCCCTTCAGGTCATTGATGTCACCTGGGGTGGGGTCACATGCGTGATGTCCCCGGGTGGCCCCGCCCCTTACATATTTAAGAACTGTCAAACCACCGGAGCAGGCAGAAGGCTGGAAGCCATCATCGGAAGCGGAGCCTTTTTTTTAATTCTTTGTCCGGGCAGCGGCGGTGACGGTGGGCATTGTGATTGATGTTGGATCTACTGCGAGGGACATTCTTTTAGTTTTTTCTTTTAATAAAGGATTTTTCAAAGACCGTGTCCTGTCTTTTTTCACACTACACTTTTTTCCTGTGTGAATGAGTAGGTACCCCATTCTCATTCACATGGGGGGGGGGGGCAGGATCTGGGGAAGAGGCCCTTATCCCCAGAAACATGGGGACAATGTGCTCTGGGGGGGAACCCCCTGCCCCAAAGCACCCCCCCATGTTGAGGGCATGTGGCCTGGTATGGTTCAGGAGGGGGGACGCTCGCCTCCTTTCCTGACCTGCCATACTGCATGTTCAGATAAGGGTCTGGTATGGATTTTGGGGGAACCCCCACGCCATTTTTTTTTTTTTTTAATTTTGGTGTGGGAGTTCCCCTCAAAATCCATACAAGACCTGAAGGGCTTGGTATGGATGGGAGGGGGGACCCCTCACCGTTTAATTGCCAGCAATGCTTTTACATACAGTTGTCAGTGGGGAACCCCCTGAAACATTAACACATGGTTTTTCACTACTAAAATACCACATGCAGTATTTTAGTGGTGTTTACTTTTTTCCTATAGGAAACGGTGTTTCGGTTTACGAATTGTTCGCTATACGAAAAGTCCTGCAGAACAAATTAAATTCGTAAACCGAGGTATTACTGTAATGTCATAATAAAAATTTTGTAAATACTGCAAAATAGTTTAAAGAAAATAACTTGTTTTTGAAGGTGCAGGTTCCAAAGGCCGGAGGTTTTTTTTTTTTACCTTACTGCATTTCCTCTCTGTGCATGAGGGCTGGACTGTTCCCACATGAGTGCCCCCATAGTAAGTGGCTTGCTATAGGGGCACTCATCGGGGGGATGAGCCAGGAGTGCCAGCGAGTGACCCCCGAAAAACAGGATTGGGGCTGCTGTGTGCAAACCCATTGAACAAAGCAGATAGGTATGACATATTTGTAAATTTAAAAAAGTAGCATTCAAACCTTACAATCACTTTAAGTGTACCTACAGCCCAATGTTTTTTTGTCTAGTTTTGAGGGAAACTCTCCAATAACAACATAGACCAAATTAAAATGCTTTTTTAGGTTAATGTCAAACGGGAATGCTAGAAACTGCCAGCTTTTATTATTGCAGACTTCTCATTTCCTGTCAGGCAAAATGTCATTAGTACAGAGATTGAGGGGAAATCTTTACAAAACCTCTGTAGATCCAAACAGGGGTTCTAAAAACCTTTCCCCACTCCATCCCAAACTAGATTAAAAAATGTTTTGGCTATAGGTACACTTTAAAGGAGTAGGGCCAAAGCACTTTTGGCCCTACTTCTGCTGCTGATCATAGGAGTGCACTTTGTTCTGCCGATCCAGACTCTGCCGGGATCCTGACTTTAATGTCGAGATCCACCCAGATGCCTAGACTGGCAGCTGGCTCAGCCTCTCAGCATGCCGTTGAGAGCCTGAGCCAGCCACTCCCATCCCCTCCATAGACTGTCACTCCCATAAAGGCTGCAGGGGCACAGTGAAGAGGAGATACTGACAGTCATTGTTCTCTGCTCACTGAAGACCAATAACTGAGTGATCAGCGGTCTTTGATCGCTCACTTCTAGGTCTAAAAGGTGGCAGGGGACAGATGCAGCATCGGACCAATGATGCATCCATCTAGGTGAGAGTATTTTTTTTTTTTTTTTTTTTTTTAATTCTTGAACTTTTCAGCATGTGCATTTTCAAACTTCGTGACATCCTAATTAATGATGTAGGAAAAAAAAAAAAAAAAAAAAAAACCAGAGCATGCAAGCTACCATATTATGACTAACTGCCTTTAAAAAGGATCTGAACTTCAAGCCACAGTTATCTCTGATAGGGACATCATCAGTTGTCACTGGGACAACAATGTTTGCAGTTGTAACCCAGGTGTAAGCAACCTTGGCACTCAGCAGCTATGGTGAAACTACATAGCCCATATGAATCCCAGAGTCAGAGGTAACAGGGTATTTGTATTTACACCGAAGTTTGGCTGCCCCACTCCAGCTCTACTAAAAACTTGTGTTTCTGCTTATAGTATAAAACTTTTTCCTTAGTTTTGGATGCAGAGGAGAGGGATTAGAGTACCTATCAATTTTTATTGCTGTCTGTGCCCCTTAGGGAGACTCTCCCTTTCTAACTGTCCTGTTTACAATTATCGTATGAAAGTGAAGGTAAAAGAAAAATGTTGGGTTGTTCCCAGAAAAGTAAGAGGGGAAATCTCCCAATGGGGACACTGTTCTGACGACCTGGGGGTCCCGAAAGAATTCCTTTTAATTTGTAGGGACAAGACGTGAAGGGAAATCTCTGTAATGGGACAAAGATGGTGAAAAAAATCTGACAGAGGTTATAACCCTCCCTTGATCTATCGAAAATGGGAAAAAAAATCCTATATTTCTACTTTAAGGATACTTTTACACTGCTCCCTTTCAAAAACGTGGTAAAATGCATATGTGTTTTTGCTGCGTTACAGTCGCATTTGGCACCTGTGAAAAAAAAAACACAGGGTGCATTTTTGATGCGTTTTCCATTCATTTCAATGTGGAGGTGAACCAAACATGCACAAAAAATTTCACAAGAGGACTTTAACCGCTTGCCTACAGGGCACTTATACCCCCTTCCTGCCCAGGCCAATTTCCAGCTTTCAGCGCTGTCACACTTTGAATGACAATTGCGCGGTCATGCAACACTGTACCCATATGAAATTTTTATCATTTGTTTGTGACAGATAGAGCTTTCTTTTGGTGGTATTTAATCACCTCTGGGTTTATTTTTTCTTAAACCAAAAACCACTAAAAATTTTGGGGAAAAAAATTATTTTAGTTTTTGTTATAAAATTTTGTAAATAAGTGATTTTTCTCCTTCACTGATATGCGCTAATGAGGCTGCAGTGGTGGGCATTGATAGGCTGCACTGATGGACACTGATAGGTGGCACTGATGGGCACTGATGAGAAGGCACTGGTAGGTGGCACTGATGGGCATTGACAGGCATCACTGATGGGCACTGAAAGGCAGCACTGATACATGGCACTGATAGGCGGCACTGACTGGCACTGTTAGGCGGCACTGACACGGCACTGTTAGGCGGCACTGATAGGTGGCACTGAAAGGTGGCACTGAAAGGCAGCTCAGATGGGCAATGATGTGTGGAATTGATGTGCACTGGTAGGCACTGGCACGAGGCACTGACACAAGGCACTGATGAGCACTGACAGGTGGCACTGCTGGGGCTACACTGATCATCAGGGCACACTGATCATCAGTGTCTGATGATCAGTGTACATGTCCTCTCCGCGGAAAGCCGATTACTGGCTCTCCTCTCGAGCTGTCAGCGTGACAGCTCAAGAGGAGAGAAATGCCGATAACCGGCATTTCCCTGTTTACATGTGATCAGCTGTGATTGGACACAGCTGATCACATGACCGAGCCGACATCTTCGGCTCTTTCTGTGACCGGTGATCCGCTGTGTCCAAGTGACACAGCGCACACCGCCGATCGCCGCACGCTCCCTGAGCCACGCATGAGCGGTGAGAATGGGAGGACGTCATATGACGTCCTCCCAGAACAAGAGAACTACCTTGCGCCTGTCATTGGACTATATGGCGGGCGGGACGTGGTTAAAAACGCAACAGACCCGCATCTGAACAGTGTGAAGAGTTCCATAGGATTTTAAAAAATTTTAAAACATAAAAACAGAAGAAAAACGGATTAGTGTGAAAGCAGTCTAAAGGTCCTCAAAGACTGCTCAAATTTCAGCCAACTGCTGACTTGTCCAAAATTTAAAGTGGAGCTCCATCCAAAAACTGAAGTTCTGATTTAAGGCCTTGTCCCCCATTCCCCATTAAGGATTGGCAACTTTGGGTAGCGGGGGGGGAATCTGAATTTGACAGGTCTCCACTCCCACTTCCGCTGCGATCTCCTACTGTAGGCGATCGGAAAGCGGAAGTTGTCCCCTCCCTGTAGTCTTCAGGGACACCTGACAGGTTCAAGAAGTCTACGGGACCATTCACAAGGTGCAGCGCTACTCGCGCATGCGCAATGGGCACCCAGCTGTGAAGCTGCAAGCTATCACAGCTGGGTGCCCACACTGAAGATGCCAACGCCAAGGAGACAGGACGGTCTGGGCTCATTGTCAACCCAGCCGGTGTGAGGACACTGCGGGTATCGAGGGACAGGTTTTTAAAAGTCAACAGCTACAGTTTTTGTAGCTGCTGACTTTTTTTTTGTAATTCCCACTGGACCTTCACTTCAAGCTGTAGACAACCCTGCAATGGGAGAAGTGCCATTGGGTTGCATACCCTCTGGAGATGGACTTGTAACCTTGAGATTGTGATATTTTGCCACAATATGGTTCTCCCAGCTCAACAAAAGGCGATTTAAAAAATTGACTAAGTCCGGGTAAAACATTTTCAGCAGAACATACGGACTATCAGATCCAGTCACTGTTCAGTAGCAGCATTGTATTTAGGCAGCTTTGGGTATCGCAGCTACATGAACACAACAGCTTGCAGGGAAGACTCCTCTGCGGTGTTAACATGGATGGGGAAAGCAACTGATTTTCCCTTCTTCACCCAACAGAAAGAAATAAAAAAAAAAGCAGAGACAAGTCAGCCTTGAAACCTCGTTGGAGAGGTTTTCTATTACTATCTGTCCTAACAAGAAGGTATAGAGAATCTACCCAACTGGGAACCAAAACACAAGAGGATCTAACCATTACCTACGCTATTAAAAAAAAAAAAAAAAAAAGGTTTTAGTTGGAGTTGGGCTTTAGGATTTAAACAGCAAAAGACGCAAACGTTCAAATCTTACGTTCTCCACCCCAAAAAAACAGAAGTATTAACAATACACACATGTCCACTCTTGCAATAGATTAGGAAATACTAGTGGTTACAAAAAGCAGTGAAAAACTGCTGGATCTGACAAAAAGAATTTGTTTTAGCTTCAATGTCTATAGTTTCCACATGCACAAAAAAATAAAAATCCGAAGCAGCCTAGAAGAGACATTGCTGAGTAATAAGATGTCCTATGTGGTAAGCCTGTGAACACTGAAGAGTTAAAGTTGGGCTTTCAGAGAGGAAGATATAATAGACTATCCAGCTGTGTGCGGGGAGCCTGGAGTGCAGAGGTTAAGAGGCATGCTCCACTGTGCATATACTCAACATGAACAACTGTCATCCTCTTGTTTCACGCAGATTTGAAGGTTTTTATTTAAACCATACACACAAGCAACTCTCTAAAATCAAATCAACATTTCCAACCAAAACAATTGTACATGGAAAACCAGCACAAAAACTCACAAGCTTCCTCATTCAGCCATTTGAAGTAGAACTAAAGAAAAAAAAATTTTTTTTTTTTTTTAATTTTTACATTTTAGATAGGAGTAAGGGAGGGTTATAACCCATTATTTTTGTAACCATCTGTATTCTATTCAGGAGATTCTCCTTCACTTTGTGCCCCATAGCCAAAACAGGAAGTAAGAGGATATCCCTCCATAGTGAAGGAATCCCTGGTTCCAGTCCTTTAAAAATATTCCTTTTTTTTTTTTTTAATTGAAATCAATGTTTAAAACAAATATTAGGCATCTATGTAACTGCCTTTCCACAAGGAAAACCTAATGTTTTTCACAAATTACCATAGGTTTTAAGGCACAGCTATAGTAAAGTATTACAAAGTGTTCATGTGACAGCTTTCCATGACATCAACATGTTTCACAGTTTGCTTCCTCAGGATGAATGGTATCACAGTGATGATTATAAGTCACATCATGTGAAAAGCCAAAACACAGGCATAAGCTACTCCCCAGACATACACAGGGGCAAGAAAGGAACAGAAACCAGAACTAAAAAGGTAAAAAAAAAACCCAAAAAACCACACAACAGCAAAAGCATAAGTCTTTCCCTTTAAAGTAGAATTTTAGGGTAGGAATAAAAATGGGCAGACAGGCAGGATTTTTAATTCAGAAGTGACATGCTTGGTCTCTTCTGCATCAAAGCTACCTACTTGTCTGTCCACCCATGTACAGTAAGCCGCGCCGGCACAGCTCACTGTACCAATTAGACAATGCCGAATTTGACGGAACTCCCGCACATGGGCATCTCACTGTACCAATTCGGCAAATCCGAATTTGACGGAACACCCGCCATGCGCAGGAGTGACATCTCCATGCAGCCAATGACAGTGGCCAGCATCAGGGAGCCATCCATCCAAAGATCCAGGCGGGGAGCTCCAGGACAGCTCATCGCGGGATCAAAGGTGAGCATAGTTCTGCTTTAAGAAGTGAAGATCCACCCAAATCCAAAGTAAAATCGGCATTATGCAGCAGATCATTAAAGTGGAACTACACTGCATCTGAACACTACAAACCAAACACTATCTGATTCATTTTTAACATTCACAGCAAACTCGCTCATCCATCCATGTCTCCATGCTTTATTTTGCTGAGAAATCACTGTTTTTCTGACCGTGGCTATCTTGAGTAAGGGGAGACGATTCATGTAGTATTTATTTCCTGGCATGCATCAGCCCTTAGCTCAGGCATGCATGCAAGAGGATGGAGTGCTAAGCTGAGAAAACCCCTCCTCCCCTCCTGAAGATTCTTGGGAAGTATGACATAATTTGCCTAGGCCAGAAACCAGGAAGTAACTAAAGAAATTAAAAAAAAAAAAGTTAAAAACAAGTAAATGTGATATACTTGCCTGTCCATTTATTACTGCTAGCAGCATAAGGATTAAAAATAGTCATTGCTGACAGAGAATAAAGTTCCACATACAAAAATGAACATAACCATATACCATTGAAGAAAGCTTGTTGCTGGGACCCATAAATGCGTCAAAGGGCAAAGAGCCCAATCAAAATAAAGGTAACCTACCAGTAACAATGAAGTACTCCTTCAATCCAAGGCATACCACAAACCTAGGTACCTGAATTTGCCACCCTATCAAGGTATTTATATTTCCATTACTCCTCCCATGATCCAGCGCACTGCTTGCATCAGAACTCGTGAAAGAATTAATAAGGCAAGGTGCTGGAATGTTCTCAGGAAGCCCTGCAGCCATGATCTGCTTGCATTGCACAGAGAAGTACAGAGACCTATTAATGGACCTATTTTGGTACGTGCAGGTACATACATGTATGTCACATACCTCAAAAATCTGGTATTTCATGGGGGTGTGATACTGGAGTGGTTTCTGAGCATAGCTAGGCACACTAAGGTGCTGTCAATAAAAAAAACACCCCCTAGGCAGCAGGGGTATCTCTTTGCATTAACTATATAATAAAAAAACAAAAAACAAAAAAAAACACAGTTCAAATATAAACACAAATTCAAATTTGAAAAATCCATGAAATTAAATAACATAACCTGCCATAATTAATTCATTTTACATTTTTTTTTTTTCCATCGTAGCTTGGTTACATCTTTCAACACCCTCCAGACCCTATTCCCCAAAGCTCAATCACAACGTAGGAATGCATAGGCATCAACCAAGTTAAAGGAAAGTGAAAACGTTACTACTATAGAAAAGTGAAAGGAGAGACACTGGATGACTAAGACCCATGAGTGTGGCCTGCTGGGATGTAGTGCCGCATAAATCATGAGTGGCATACCTCACTTTCCATTAGAAATACTCTGCCAGTAGAGCTGAACCTAAATGGTCCACTGAGGATGTGAAATGAGAACTTCACCACCTTCCTGTGGCACCAGGACTTCCTGAGTTTGGCAGCTTGGGGTACACTGGTCAGAAGTTATTATTTCCAAGAACTATATACTCTATACTCAAGAGGATCTGTCAGAAGTAATTAGTGTACAAAGGAGAAGAATAGAAGTGATTTAAATGAGGAAATCTAGTTTGTAAAACAAGAGAAGTTCTTCCAAACTACTGTTCAATACACGTACACGCCAGATGCTAAAGATATGTAAAAAAGAGAAAAAAAAAAAAAAAAAGGGTTTTGTTTCCAAAACTGAAAAAAATCTTGATAACCAGTCTCTTAGAACCAATTACTAGCCCGTTTATTAAATCTATTGTTATTTTACAGCAGACATAAAATGATTTGTCTTTAAAAATGGACACTATTCCAATAACTGTTTAAATTAGGATCCCCGAAGCCAGGCAGAACGCCTATAAAAACCTGACACATAACTTTCTTCATGCCCAATGTTTTCTTTGCGTCAGCTCTATTGTTTGCAATGGATGCAATGCTTCCTGGGACTAAAATGTCAAAAACTCAACTCCAAACATTAACTTTTCCTAAAAACTGATACAACATATACAATTGCTAGTCATTTCCTAATTTAATATAGTTAATTATGGCCTAAAACATGTGCCTATTTCTTTATAGCCATGGCAAAACTGGGGATATTCTGTACAGTGTGTGGGCAAAGAACACATGCAGAAATGTAATTTTCTGGGAATGTGGCTGGCATTGGCAGTGTGAGGATGCAATGACTGTGAGCTCTGCGAACTATGAGACTACAGCCATAGTACACTGG